GTAAATAAGTGGCAGTATTTTTGACATAAAGTGATATTAACATAAAAATAAAGATCATAAGAATAATGATGTTTTTCTCCTTTTAATAGAACTGTTTAATGTTTTTTTTATTTTAATCTAACTGAATAGTTGAATATATTTGAAATAAGTGGAGCTGTACCTGTATTCGGCCCTCGGTGAGCTGCAGCAGGCAGGCTAACTGGTCTCTGGCGTTGACGTCTGGATAGTGGGTCTGCATGAAAACCGCCTCCAGTTCCTGGACCTGTAGTGGTGTGAAYGTGACCCTGGTTTGCCTTTTCCTCTTCTGCACTGTGAACATATGATCCTCACTGTCATCTCCATCATTAGCATCTAACAAACAAAGAAAAATCATAATTAAAAGTGTTTTTTCTTCGATTATTCACTCTTTAATAAACTTGACTCACTGTAGTCTGTAGACGGTTTTGGTGACTCTTCAAGTCGAATTTGTGGAGTTTCTGTAAGCAAACATTTATTTGTTATTAAAAAAATTCAATAAATTAATAAAAGAGGGGAAAAAAGAGGGAACTAAAGCTTACCTGTACRCAAGAACTTGTTGTTTACGTGGCTGTTTTCTTTTATAACAGACCAGTTTCGACAAACTCTCCCCTCTTTCCTGAGAAATGCAGGCTTTCTAAGAATGTCTTCAATTGAGTGGGATATTCGTTTAAGTGGCTGYGTTTCCCTTTCTTCATCCATACAAGACTTATTTTTTGTTTCTTCTCTTGTCCACATGTCCAGGAGTTTATTTCCTACCATCAGCTCGTCTGTCATGATAGCATGTCCCTTTGATGTAACCTTTAAAAAAAACACGTCTGTCTGTCCTGAGGCTAAAAAAGACCTCTCAGGGTGAGAAAACTGCTGTCTGGATTCTGAAAGGTGGAGACATGTGGRTGTCCTCCCTGCTCTGTTTGACCTGTGTCACATGGTCATTAAGGAGGCGGGGCTCCTAAAAATTTGCAACACAAAAGATAACTGATGTAAATTATATATTATATATATTATGTATTAAATAAAAAACTAAACCAGTTATGATATGCTTAGTGTAAATGAATAATCTGATCTTTTTTTCTCCATTATTCATCCTTTGCTTTTCGAAGTCTTAATCCCCTCTGCAGACAAAATGCCTACGGCTGAAATGTTTGACTCTTAGATAATATTCAACTATCAAATCCAGATAAGTTGTTGCTTCTCTTTCTTATCACTTGATTTATTGCACAGCTAATTTTTTTTTATCACTTTGGCCCCAATGTGCCTCCTCAACACACCAGGTGCCTTGTTCCAGACTGAAACACAGAAAACTGTCAGCTCAGTKGATCCAGAGGCTTTTTGTTTTGGGTTTAGAGAGAGTTGATCTCCATCTAGTGGTTCTGAGGTCTCAGTGAGCAAACAGGATGTGACTTTCATTAGTCTGTGGTGATTGGTTTATCATTACRACTGGAAAGTATGCATCGGAGTTGGTTTTCAGGCGTTTGTTGCACTTTAAAACAGTTTTGTTGCAACAGTTCAAGTGCAGCTACCTATAATCTATTTGAAAAAAAAAAAGTATAATTTTGTGAAAGAAAGAAAAGTCTTTAAATTTTATTTCTAAGTTTTCATCACACTTTTATGTAATTCATTTTCTTTCTATGCATTGCTTCAACATATGCTGGACTTTTCCATGAAAAGATTTTGTCCTAATCTTTTCCTAATTTGATGACGTCAGAGTGTCGGAGTGCAGGATGATGGCAAGGGGGAGGGGGGGAGGGGTGCTGTTACTGTGTTTATTAGTGTGTAGTTGGATGTGAGTCTCTCTGAATGTGAAATTATAATTCTAAACTTTAGTTTTATAAAAATTACCTTCTGTGTTACTTTATATGTTTGTTTGTTTTCCTCTCATAAACTTATGACTCTAAAAAACCAGATGAATGTTAAGAGTACTCATGGGGCATTATGATTAAATAATTTTTACCTCTTTCCACCCCTTTTCAGACATGTTAATGGGATTTATGTGTCATTTATGTGTTATAAGTGTGCAAATTGGGTGCATATTTGTTTTCCAGTTTTTTTTAATTTTATGTTCATTCAATTAAAATAGTTTTTGTCTTCGATTTATTTATTCAGGACAGTGTGCAATTAAAACATAATTTGATGCATGTCACCAGATTTAGCTTAAGGCTAATTTACATCTGTA